CAAATCTGACTGAAAACAGGTCAATGAAGTGAATGACCCTTTCATTTGACATAGTCCTTAATATAGATCAAGAATATTTGGCATTTGGTACATGACTGATGAATTAGAAAAGCAAATTTACCCTATAGTGATGTTTCTTTACCAAAATCTTAAAGAAAATAAAGCTTAGTCAATGGTATCCATCAGTCCTTTAAATAAATCAAATTTAATTCTAACAACCTTATAAGAAGATCTGTATAGCAGAGAATGGCTTTCATCAAATTACAGCTCCTTTTTTTTTCTGGCTTCCCTTCCCCAACAATTTCTGCCCCAACCATCTTCCTGTATTCTCCCTATAGCCTATTTGAGTCTGCTTTTCCTAGCAGGATGTTTTCCTTCCAGATGTTAGCTGGTGAGAAGTGAGGGGACTGAAAAATAGCTTACTGACCTGACCTACCTTCATTATCTTCACTTGCATTCCTTCTTGCTACCTTATTTCCACTTCTCTATGCTTTTTAGCATGCTGCAAGGAGAAAGGTTATATAAGTGAAAGCATATTCAGCAGTATCTTTTCAAAATTTAAGAACTTGCTTTCTAAAGATATTCTGATATGCTTTCTCCCCATTTCACACACACAGGCATCCAAAGATACCGTTTTTAAAAAAGCATTTTTTCGAAGAATTTTGCCAAGCCCAAGTATTATGGGAATCACATAGGTACTTTGAATTTTCAATCTTCACCAGACTCTTAAATTTTTTTTTTAAATCTCTGTGCTGCATAGTTTGCATATATGTAACCCCTATGTATCAATTTTATTATGGACATAATAAAAGGAAAAAAAAGCAGGGATGTGGACCTCAAGAGAATTTTTTAAGACATTTTACAACTAGTGAGCATTTACATAAAAGTAAAAAATAAAAAAAAAAAAGGAATTGTAGAATTATTTTAGCCTGACTTTTGTAATGTTATCACACAGAAGTACCCAAGAAATAGGTAAGACAAAAGACAAAGACATGGAAACAGTTCAATCGCTTATTAGAGGTTATTTTCTATATGTAAATGCAATGAAGTCCAAATAATTCATCTTCTTTGCAAAAAGTTTACAAACCACTTAAAACTTACTTGATTTTGTTGTGTGAGAAACAAAATTTGTTAACTTAGGTTCAATGCCCTGACCACCCCATCTGGAGATGGATGTAAAGACCCTGACAAACCCAAAGTCAACATAATAGCTCCCAAATCAGATCATGAAATCTCAAAATAGGGAAAAAGTTATTCTGTGAGATATCACTTCCTGGGCATTCTTCTACTAAACTTAATGTAGTGCCACCAATCTCAAAATTAGTATTCTCTTTGGTAAGTAGGATAGACACCTGATATATTTTATCTGCTGTATAACTATGTTCACTGTCAAAGCAAAGCTTAACATTATGAAGTGCAATTGCTTAACTGGATTGTTGTTACATACATCTTAGACAATGATTGGCTACTAAGAAGTACAATCCAAGTCTGGTTCCTTTTTTAGCATGCCTCTTTACTCATAACACTTGGAGCTTAAAATCTCAGAACTTTTCAGAACGATTAAACAGCAGTAATCAGAGCTTTTTTTCACACTCCCATTTTTCTTTGTCAGGGGTGGGGAAGAATAGTAGGTTTCTCAGACTTCATACTGCAACCTGACAACCTGTCATCCCCATTAAAAGCAAAATTGTCATACAGCAGGAAGTTTAAATTTTAAAGCCATCATGGAGCTTACTCATGATTTAAATACAATGGATAACACAAAAGGCTCTAACCTAGGAAGGTGAGCTTAGAAAGTGCTTAAGAAGCATGTTAGAGGATGAAATTTATCAGATAAGTCAATGCTATTATTTAAAACGTCATGTTTAGTCACATAGAAGGAAGATTTCAATGAGCTAAATCTTTTTGTAGTACCATCCTTTTCTCTCATTTGCTTAACTATCTCTAAATTTTAATGATAGAACAATATTAAAAGTTCAGAAGACTACCTTGGAGGCAAACAAGACAAACCTGGTGATCAAACTAATTTCTCACTGTGGGTTTTTTTTTTTGGTGACCTGAACATTTCTAAAGGTTGACTTCAATTTTATTTCCTCTGCTAGAATGAAGTATCACTCTCAATTGGTTTAGTAGGCATTCACAATGGAAAAACATATATCAAATTGGAATCTTAAATGTGTCCTTTAGTTTCACATAGCTGGAATCTATTGTTTCTACAGTAAGGTTTCAAAACAACTCACATTTTCAAGAAAAATCTTTGAAATGATTCACGGAATTTCAATTGGAATTTCATGTGGTATTTCTTTTATCGACACATAACAAAACCCATGTCAAGCTGCTCTGTACCATGAATGCAAATTTATTTTTTTAAGCAATTAAAATAGATTTTTCTTCACTGGTCAATTCTAATTTAGAAATAATGAGCATAATGGAACACCTCATCAGAAAAAGTTTACTATCTGCTGACCTAAGAACCTTATCGTTTAGGAAAGAGAACAGATGGTTCTCAGTCCTTCAACTATGTAACTAAAGAATCCCCTTATTTCTAAAACTTTACCAGCCCAAACAAATTTGGGGGGAGGAGTTATCCCACCTTAATGCAAAAAACCTTGGACAAGAGCATTTTTTGCTATATTTGAAAAAAAGCAGTTTTGAAAACTTAGTATGTGAAAAATGCCGTCTATATTCTTACCTGCTCATGCTGACAATCCTTAATTTGAACAAATTTTCATTCATTGCTGACTCTATCTGATAAAAATGTAATCCTTGCTACAACATACACAATAATTCATTCTAGATGCATAGTAGATCTAAATGTGCAAAGTAGGCAATGATGCTTCTATACAAGAATAGCGTCCAGAATTTTCTGCAATAGAAATGTTTCCATACAGCAGCTACCAGCCAGCTATAAGTGAATGCTGAGAATTTCAAATATGTCGAGTTCTACTTGAAGAACTAATTTTAAATTAAGTTGTATAAAAATTAAAGATTTACATTCATTAAAAGCTATTAAGAAAGTAAAAAGCAAGTCATGAAGAAGACTTGGAAAGTCCTCTTTGCAAAGACAAATTCCTATCTAGAATATACAAAGAACCAGAATGTCATGAAAAAAGGGCAGATAGTATTAACACTGCCCACCCTCCCCACCTCTCATGCCCTAGCCACACCCTCAATAGGGAAAAAATAAAACTCAAAGGAGCTACCCAAACAACTCCAGTTTCTTCCTCCTACACTGTATCTTGTACACCATGGTCAAATTAAGCTTTCCAACACTCTTAACAAAGGAATCATATTCTCTCCCAAAGTTGAAGATCTTCAGTCTGTTATTCATGGTCATCTCTTACCTTAACTTACCCATTATACTTAATTATACTATTCCCCTTTGTATACACTAAGCCAGTACTTTTTGTGTTTGTCACTGTCACATTCTTTAGGTTGCTATTTAAAGCATTTGTATGTAAATTATATATAATGTGTCAGTCAAGAGAGATGAGCCTTAGCTTTCTTGTTACTTTCCTTTCTGGTTTTAAATGTATAATTAAATGACTTATAAGTGCTAAGTTTGATCCTTAACATACAATGCTTTTTCTAAAAGCTAACCTTATTAAAATGTTTTTCCTTAAAAAGAAAATATGGCAACTTCATGATAAAGTATGATATAAATGGTACTTTTTAGAAGAGCTGTTAAAGAACTATTTTCTTTATCCCACTCACTCTTTCTCCATGAATTAACTGTGTATTTCAAGTGGTAAGTTTTAAAGACTTAGTAGAAAAATTCTAGTTTTATTTTGATGCATAACATAAACTATACACTAAGCTGTACTAGCTCTTTTAGAGTATAATAAAACAAGACATCCATAAAATAGGCCCCCTGGGTCTTTAATTTCATTTAGGCTAAATGTCTCCATCTTTTTTCAGTTTTAGCTAAAATGATTTATATATATAACCAATTTAATAATTTGCTAGGGTTTCAGAATTAAAGTGATTTTAAATTTACAAAAAGGGAGTTATAGCATAAATGAGGGACAAAACAAAATATAAGCATGGATTATATGTACAAACTTATCACTATTTTTATGTTTTCATTTAAGCTATATATGCTGTGAGCTAAAGTTATTTAGGTGATATATGATTTATATTCACACTTTAATATAAATTTCAGAACATAAAATACAAGTTGTTCAAATCCATATATTTTTACTTGAAATACAATACCTATAAAAACAGCTCCTACAACAAAACCAACATTAGGAGAGTTATTTAAATAAATTTTGATGGTTGTCGTAGAACCAATTTTCTTCATTAAGTACCTACAAGGACTTAGCACTGTTTAGATTTCACAACCAAAAGTGTGGTATTGATAAGTAAATATTATATATCAATTCAGTCAAACATTCAGGATAAAAGGATTGACTTTTGCTTTAAATCTTAGATCAAAAGTGAATTTTGAAAATAATATATTAAAAAATACCCTCCCAACCACTGTCAATGCATTCTTTATGTATTCACACTGCATGTTCCAGGAGTTATTTTTTCTGTACTTCCACAGGTCTTTTTATTGAGGCAGTCATCAATCATCTTCTTTCTCAATATATGTCTTCGCATTAACCCGTGCCATTTGCCTGGCCAAGTATCTGTCTCTAGCTGACATTACAGTTTCTTCATTGTTCCGCTTTGCAAATTTGCTCACTGTCTCTTGTTCTTTGCCCAGCTCTTGGCTTTCTTCTGTGATTGTGTGTTTTCCTCCTAGCGATGTTTCAGAAGTAGAGTGTTTCTCTGCATTTCTTTCTTTGTCCTTTTCCATGCTTCTCATTTTACTCGATCCTTCCTGATCAAGAAACTTATCTTTTGTTTCCTTGGGGCTTCTTTCTTTTCTGTCTTGATTTCTTTCTGAGGAATGAACACTTACTTCTCGTCTTTCTCTATCTCTGTATTTATCATTGTTTTCATATCGTTCTTTCCTTGCTTTCATATGCTCATCCTTTTCTCTTTCTTTCTCACTTTGTCGGTCACGATCACTTTGTTCTCTCTCTCTTTCGTGTTCTCTTGGGGGGTATTTCTCTCTGTCTTTCTCCCTTTTCTGTTCCCTGTCATTTCTTTCTCTTTGACCTCTCCCCCTTAGTTTATCTTCCCGTTCATGCTGCTTCCAGTGGGACTCTCTGTGACTGGCCTCTTTGTGTCTATGAGAATCCTTCCTTTCTTCCCAGTATTCACGGTCAGTGTGATAGTTCCCCTGGTCCCTGGGTTGTTTCTCCTGGTGCCGATCCTCCCTTTTCTCGTGCCCTCTTGATTTGGAAGTTTTTGTGTGATGTTTGGTACCGTGCTCTCTTTCTTCACTAGATGATCGTGAGTGTGTTAGATTCCTATTCCTGTGATGTCTGAAGTTCCTCTTCGCGTCCTCTGTGTGCCTTTCCCTTTTGCAGTTCACATTATTTTCTTTCATTTCATCATCCTCACTGCTTTTAGCATCAAAGTCACTGTCTGCATCTGGGTTATCCTCTACTTTCACAACAGCTTGGAGAACGCATTTTTCATGTGGTATTCTTTTCTCTGAACTTACTTCATCGGAATAACCCCTTGATTTCTCTTCCTTTATCTCAGACCTTTAAAAAATTATATAAAACAAAATGTCACGTTATCAATTGTAGTAAGTAAAATGTTCACATAATTTTTCTCATGTTAAAGTCAACACAATTACAATTACATTACTTTCTGATCATACAAATGTGAAAAAGAACTGATGTTTGTTTACTGGTAGACATCTACAAACTTGTATTTTCTTATCATTCAGAATATTTTTAATATTGGTGGAAATGAAATTGAGACAATCAGTCCTCCTGTATTTGGGCCATCAGAATGTTCAAACAAGGGTCTGTGCAGAGTATTCATTTTCGCTAAGCATAGATGTAACTGGGGAAGGTAAGATATATTCTATTATAGACTAAGTATTATTTTTTTTTTTTTTAAATTTTTTTTTTTTTTTTTTTAAATAGAGGCATGCTTTATTTATTTATTTGTTTGTTTGTTTGTTTTGTTTATACATGCACTGGGTACAGTCAGAAGCGCGGGAGGGTGAGAGAATTCACCAGAGCCAGAGCGGGGAGCAGAGCAGGCAGAAGGGCCGAAGTACACTGCTGAGGGGAGCAGCGGGCGGCAGGAGAGGTCTGCGCGCCATGTGGGACCCTCCTCCAGTGGCCGGGGAGCAGCCGGGGATCGAACCGGCGCCACAGAGGCTGCGGGCAGCTTCGCAACCCAGTGCTCAACCGCTGCGCCACCGGGGAGGCCCTAGACTAAGTATTATTTTATACCATGAAGTTGTGGTTCTTCGTAGGAATTTTTTTCTTTTTAAAAAAATTAAGAGTCCTGGAAATATATGAAGATACTATTTTCACAGCAAAATAGTGGCAACATTATTAAATAATCCCTCATGATGAAAAAGGTGGCAGTATTCTGAAATACCCCTGGTGATAATATCCTATCATAACAAAATGGAATTAGGTGAATCTATGCAGTTATTACATCAGTAACACTAAAAAATTATTTACATTTACATTTTCTCAGTTGATACGTGGTTTATTTACATTACTCACACATTTATTCTTATTAGTCACACTAATAGAACAATAACTGTGGTTCTCTAGGAACAAGTGGCAGTAATATCTTGGCTAAAGGACTCATCAATACTTAGAAATTCTATTACTTGACTCTGAAAAATACCACTACTAAATGACATTATGGAGTTTCATATTTGGCCTTACAACTATTCCATATGAAACAATAATAGAAACTCAATCTTCCACTCAAAACCTCAATCTTTTTTTTTTTAAAAGATTTATTTATTTATGCATACAAGAACTGGGGTACAGGCCAGAGGTGCAGGGGAGTGGGGTGAGAGGATTCACCAGGGACAGAGTAGGGAACAGAACAGGCAGACTGAAATACACTGCTGAGGGGAGCAGTGGGTGAGACAGGAGAGGTCTGCTGTGCCATGTGGGTAGCTCCCTGGCCGGCTGGGGATTGACCTTGTGCTGCAGAGGCTGCCGACAGCTTCAAAGTGCTGTGCTTAACCCCTTCCGCCACCAGGGAGGCCCAAAAGCTCAATCTTCTAATATATTTTCTTAGACTTAAAAGTTTGTTTAGATCTAAGCTTACAATAAATTCTCCCTTTTACAAAACTTCAGCTTTACCTTTATGACACAATCATTTTACTATTCCTGTAATACCTTACAATTTTATTAAAAAATCTTCCAGTTTTTACTTTCTAGACCAGTACCAACAGAAATGTGTATAGAAATGCTGGGCCTCCCTGGTGGCACAAGGGGTTAAGCACCGCACTATGAAGCAATCTGCAGCCTCTGCAGCACGAGTTCAATCCCGGGCTGGCCAGGGAGAAACCCACATGGCACAGTAGACCTCTCCTGTCTCGCCTGCTGCTCCCCTCAGCAGTGTATTTCACCCAGTCTGCCTGGTCTGTTTCCCACTCTGTCTCTGGTGAATCCTCTCACCCCCCTGCATCTCTGGCCTGTATCCCAGCTCTTGTATGCATAAATAAATAAATCTTGAAAGAAAGAAGGAAAGAAAGGAAAGAAAGGAAAGAAAGGAAAGGAAGGAAAGGAAGGAAAGGAAGGAAAGGAAGGAAAGGAAGGAAGGAAAGGAAGGAAGGAAAGGAAGGAAGGAAAGGAAGGAAAGGAAGGAAAGGAAGGAAAGGAAGGAAAGGAAGGAAAGGAAGGAAAGGAAGGAAGGAAGGAAGGAAGGAAGGAAGGAAGGAAGGAAGGAAGGAAGGAAGGAAGGAAGGAAGGAAGGAAGAAATGGTAATGCTGATGTCTGTGTTGTCCAACATAGAAGCCACTGGCTAAATGTTGCAATCAAGTCCTTGAATGTGGCTGCTGTGACTAAAATTCTATATTTAATTTAAATATAAGCAGTCACACAGGCTACATACTGGTCACATAATTGGATAGTGCATTTCTAGTTCTTGATATAATCTTAGTTTTATGGAAGCTGGGGCCTATTTAAGAAAAACCACTTTTCCTTTTAAATTCTATCTGAACATGTACACAAGATACTGATGAATGATCTTGAACTAAGTCTGTGGGGTTTTGACTAAGAAACTTGTAAATCCCTAGTCATTCACTCAACTAGGCCAGGCATGGATGACAGCAAAATATGGAACACTACAATCCTTTATCTTCCAGAGGATTAAAATGATCCTGTATACACAGATCATGAATACTGTCTTTTCTGTAAATATCCCTTATGCCACATCTTACCTGGCTTCACGAAAGCTGCATGTAGGTACTTCCTCTTCCCCAACTGCTTGATTTAATAGGTGCCTATAAAATCCACTAAGATCTTTCTGCTTGGTTACATCCAAATGAGCTAAGAGGGGAAAAGCAAAAATGAGAACATATATTCAACAAAATACAATGCAATTTACTTTTATAGGTATTTGGTATATAACATATACAGTATGCAAACTGTTTTCAAGATCAGGAGCTGGCAAACTATAGGCTGCAGGTCAAATGTGGCCTGCTGTCTGTTTTTGTAAATAAATTTTTATTTGCTTATGTATTATCCAAGGCTGCTTTTACTTTAGATAGACCAAGCTGAGCGAGTTCTACAGGGATCACAAGGTTCATATAGCCTGAAATATTTGCTACCTGGTCCTTTATAGAAAATCTGCTGATTGGTACTCTAAATGAAAACACAGCACATGCTTAGACTGTAATTTTAATTTTCTTCCACTTAAAGTTGATGAGAAAGTCAATTAAATGATTTACAAGTATATATTTTACTTAAAACTGAGAAATGACCATGAGTAAAATGTACTTGAGTCTAAGGTATTCTTTAATCCCATTACATCTTTGATCTTTCTTGAATTAATGTTATTCTTTTTCTGAACACCCAATAATGCAACTATTTTTAAAATTGCCTCTGTTTTATAATACTATGTATTATCTTGTACCTTGACTTCACATACATCAATTATCATCACAACATTAAGATCCAAAGTTCAGTGACAGAGCAAATGGCTAGCGACAGGGCAGAATTCTGCTGTTTCTGTTTCCTTCCTGCCTTCTCCTGCTTCCATTTTACCTTCAAGTGCAGCAGCTCTCCTTTCTCTTTCTTCCTCTTCAGCTCTCTCTTGCAGTTTTTTCTTATAAGCAGACGTTACAAATGCCTCTTTATCATCAAATTCTCCCTTTTCCATTTCTCGCTCTCTCTGTATTTTCTTTTCCATTCTTTTTTCCTGTTCCTTTTTTCTGATCTCAACTGCTTTTAGTAAGTTGTGAATATATTTGGGCTAGGAGAAAAATAAGTCTATTTAGGAAAGAGTTCAAAGTAGTAATTACTAATAGTCTATTGTTTTAAATTGTGACTTCATTAAAAACTGGCTAGTCTAAATAGGTAGAAATGTCACCTTTTCAAAATTTACTTGCCAAGATTTACACTAAATTTTTTTTCAATAAAATATTAAGTATAAAGACAGAAATTATTCATATCAAATGAAATAATTTTCCCAGTGTTTTTCTTACCCCGTTTACTGGTACTATCTTCAACAGATCTATGAATCAGAAAGGTTGCTATTAATTTTTCCCACTGCTTGAATACGATTATTTTAAAAGGTAGCTTTAATGTAATTTTATGCTACCAGTCTCCTTGTAGATACTTTAAGATACTAAACTCCTTAAAAACCAGTCTGTGTTTGTGAAAAAAACCACATCTGCCCCCAGTGTTTTTCAAACAATAAATATGGTCATAATATGTGTCGGTGCTTTACCAGTTAGGAAAAATAAAATAACAATAAAAGGATGATAAAACACCAACAAACATGAACATACATTTTTTCTAACAAAAAAAATTTCAAAAGATTATTTGCAAAGGTTTCAAAAAAATCAGAGGTGTAAACTTGTACTCCTTAAATATACAGTGTTGTAAACCAACACTACTTAAAAAAACTGGCAGAAGTATTATTAAAATTTGTAGATTATTTACTTTCTCCTGTTAGGATACTCAATGCAGGGCCTCGGATTCTAAATCAAATGTATTCTATCTGAAACTAAGGGCTTTTCACATTTCAAATATCTAAGAACTTTTTTTTAAGGTCATCTCCATGTTGAAATAAGATTAAGAAACAAAATGCAAATCAAAGTTACAGAAAGTTTGTATTTTTCAGCTACAAACCTTTCGATCTTGTCCCAAAAGCAACTTGGGATTATTTTCCTCCTTTTTTTTCTGCATTTCATCATAAATACTGTCATATTCATAGACAGTAGAATCTTCTGCAAGGGCCTTCTGGATTTCCAGCTTGGTCTTTAAAAAAAAAAATTTTTTTTTTAAAATATGAACCAGCTAACAGATACCACAAAAAGCCTAATAATTTTTTTGAGCAAGGATTAAAAATCAGAAATACATCATAAAAATGGTATCAATCACATTTTAGACAAAAAATATGAACATCAATTCTGGAGCCAGGCTGCCTAGGTTTGAATCCTTGCTGTGTCCTTTTGAGCTATTCTGGCCAAGTTTATTTCTTTTGAGCCTGTTTTTCTCAACTATAATAAATAACTGTATCTACCTTCCAAGTTGTTGTGATAATTAAAACAAAAAACACTTTAGAACACTTAGAACAGAGCCTGACTGAGAATGTTGAAAAAACATTATTACCAATTCATTTGTATATAAATATAATTATCTATATCAAAAGTTAAAGGGTTCACGGTATGACTTAGAAATCTCTAACCTGGGCCTCCCCGGTGGCGCAGCGGTTGAGCGCTGGGTTGAGAAGCTGCCCGCAGCCTCTGCAGCGCCGGTTCGATCCCCGGCTGCTCCCCGGCCACTGGAGAAGGGTCCCGCATGGCGTGCAGACCTCTCCTGCCGCCCACTGCTCCCCTCAGCAGTGTACTTCGGTCCTTCTGCCTGCTCTGCTCCCCGCTCTGGCTCCAGTGAATTCTCTCACCCTTCCATGCTTCTAACTGTACACAGTGTATGTATGTATGTATGTATAAATAAATCTTTAAAAAAAACTCTAACCTTGGTTTTGATCATATATTAAACTTCATAATATTTTTTGTAATCTGACTTACCAAACAAAATGTCAGTTTCTAAATGGTAGGAAACTTTTTAAAAATTGAAAAATGAGGACACTTTGTAATTAATATTTTCACAATTTTAGTTATAAAAAGTCTTCAGCCGGGCCTCCTCCGGTGGCACAGCAGTTGAGCGCTGGGCTGCGAAGCTGTGCGCAGCCTCCGCAGCGCCGGTTCGATCCCTAGCCACCACGAAGGCCCCACAGGGCGTGCTGACCTCTCCTGCAGTGCCCGCTGCTCCCCTCAGCAGGAGGGGAGCTGTTCTGGTCTGCCTGTTCTGTTCCCGGCTCTGGTGAATTCTCTCACCCTCCCGCACTTCTGACTATACCCAGTGTTTGTACAAGTAAATAAATAAATCTTTAAAAAAAAAAGTCTTCAGCCTTTGTCATTGAAATGTTCTTCCTCCTACCTCAGCTCATCAAATTCCTATTTAGAGCTTCAGGACAAGTTCACCTCCCACCTTTTAAAGGAAATCATTTCTAAGGCCTTTGAAATCTTATAGTATAGTCTATATTGAAATATTTATTTAACAATATGCCTAATGTTATTGCTTTCTAATTTTTTCACAAATCTTAGCATCTTGCCCCACCCTATGAGTTCCTGAGGTACAGTGTACTTCACATTTTAACTTCTGTTTGTTATTATACTGTCTAATGCAATGTGGGACACAGAGGGATACTTTTTAAGTGATACTGTGATATCATTAATTATCAAAAGAATCCATCTGATATTCTCAGGTTTTCACGTATGACTAGATTCTGAACTTAAAACATTTCTCTCTGGTACCTCCCCAGGCGGCACAGCAGTTGAGCACTGGGCTGCGAAGCTGCCCGCAGCCTCTGCAATGCCAGTTAGATCCCGGCTGCCGGCTAGGGTCCCACATGGCGCGTAGACCTCTCCTGCCGCGCCCACTGTTCCCCTCAGCAGTGTATTTCGTCAGTCTGCCTGTTCTGTTCCCGCTCTGGCTCTGGTGAATTCTCTCACCCTTCTGCGCTTCTGACTGTACCCAGTGCTTGTATAAATAAAATAAATATTAAAAAAATTTTTTTCTTTCTGGAATATGGTCTAAAATATTTAAAAATTTCTCACTCTTCAACATTTACATTATTTAATTTCTGAAAAACAATGATTCCCCTGATTACGTGGTTAATTAGCACTGCTGCTCCCTCCCCCCAAACAATCTGCAGCCCAAAGAGGATAACACAGAATTGAAGATATGATCACAACAAGAAGAAGAAAAGAACAGAAAACTAAGGCTGCTTCAAATTGATAACATGCCTTTGTATATGCTAGGAGACTGGCATTAGAGCACTTGTGTAGAGAAGTTATTAACTAAATCATAAAACATATAAAAGTGAAAACTGAACAGAAATCTAAGGGTAGAGATTTTAACATGTCTTTTTGCAATTAATAGAACAGCTGAAAAAACAGTATTTAATTTAAATGAACTAACACAACTGACCCAATGGGGACACACAGAACATTTTAAGCATAGAGAGGGAATATTTATTTACAAAAACTTACTATATAGTGGTCCAAAAGCTAATCTAAACACATATTAAATACATGAACCAATGGGGGGTGCATTATCTTGGAACACACGGTTGAGCACTGGGTTGCAAGGCTGCCCGCAGGCTCAGCAGCGCTGGTTGGATCCCCAGCTGCTCCCTGGCCACCAGAGGAGGGTTCCACATGTGGCATGCAGACCTCTCCTGCTGCCCGCTGCTCCCCTCAGCAGTGTACTTCGGTCCTTCTGCCTGCTCTGCTTCCTGCTCTGGCTCTGGTGAATTCTCTCACCCTCCTGCGCTTCTGACTGTACCCAGTGCTTGTATAAATAAATTAAAAAATAATAAATCTTTAAAAAAAAAAAAAAAAGAAATCACTAACAATAAAGGTAACCAAAACCCTTATATGTTTAGAAATTAAGTTCCAAATAAGCTATGGGTCAAAGAAATCATAATGGAAATTAGAAAATATTTTGAACTATATAGTAAAAATACTATTTATCAAAATTTGTGGGATGCAGTTCGAGTAGTTTAGAAGAAAATGTATAGCTTTAAATACATACATGAGAAAACGAAGAGATGAAAGAGTTATAAACTCATCTCAAAAAGTTAGGAACAGGGCCTCCCCAGTGGCACAGTGGGTTGAGCGCAACGCTGTGAAGCTGTCTGCAGCCTCTACAGCGCTAGTTAGATTCCCGGCCGGCCAGGGAGATTCCCACATGGTGCTGCAGAGCTCTCCTCTCTCGCCCACTGCTACCCTCAGCAGTGCTTTCGGTCATTCTGCCTGTTCTGCTCCCCACTCTGTCTCTGGTGAATTCTCTCACCCTCCCACGCCTCTGGCTTGTACCCCAGTGCTTGTATAAATAAATAAATCTTAAAAAAAAAAAAAGTTAGGAACATAACAAAATAAAGCCAAAGAAAGCAAAATGAAAAGAAATATTTAGAGTGCATAAATAAGCCCATACAGATATGGTCAATTAATTTACCACAAAGGAACCAAGAACATACAATACCCAATACGGAAACAACAATTCTATTCAATAAATGAGTATATAATTGAGTATATAACAAACAAGTACATAATTGGCCTGTAAACCAGAGAACCACATGCAAAAGAATGAATCTGGACCTCTAACTTATACCACACACAGAAATTAAATCAAAATGATTAAGACCAAAACCATAAAACTCCTAAAAGAAAATGGGCAGTTACAAATCTAGATATTAGTTTAGCAATACTTTTTTCTTGACACAAAAGCAAAAATAAACACATGTAATCATGTCAAACTAAAAATCCATTGCAAAGCAAAGGAAATCAACAAAATGAAAAGGCAACCTACAAAATGAGAGGAAATATTTTAAATCATGTATCTGATAAAGGGCTGACATCCAAAATATATAAAGAACTCACACAACGCAATAGCAAACAAAACACCAAACAATTGGATTTAAAAATGGGCAGAGGATCTCAATAGAGATTTTCCCAAAGACAGAGGGTCAATAGGTACATGAAAAGGTGCTCAACATCACTCATCACAGAACTGCAAATCAAAACCACAATGAGATACCTCACATCTGTTAGAATGGCTAATCATTAAAAAGACAAGAAATAGCAAGTATTGGTGATAATATGGAGAAAAGGTAGTGAGAATGTATAGCTTTAAAAACATAGTCACTATAGAAAACAGTATGGTGATGCCGCAAAAAATAGAACTCTTGACATGATCCAGAAATTCCACTTTTATTTATTTGAAGGATATAAAAATAGAACCAGAAATTCTATTTCTATATATAAATGTGTACATACACATTTATATCTACTAGAGCATTATTTTCATAACTAAGACATGGAAACAACCTAAGTGTGCATCAATGGATGAATGAATAAAGGTGTGATATGTGTGCATGCATACATGCACTAAGGGCATTAAAGTTAGAGAAAGACAAAGACTGTATAGTATCACTTATGTGTAGACTCTTAAAATCAAACAAACTTCCAGTTACAAAATAAGTCACAGAGATGTAATGCTTAGTTGACTAATAATACTATATTGCATACTTGGAAGTTGCTAAGAGAATAAATCTTAAAAGTTCTTATCACAAAAAAAAAACACCCACCTTTTTGTTTAGGATGAAACATGTTAACTAGTCTTATTATGGTGATCATTTTGCAATATAAACAAATACTGAATAAGTAGCACACATGAAATGGTGTCAATTATACCTCAATAAATAGTTGCTAGATGAAAAATAATTTGTCGGGAGAAATATTAATGAAGCAGAAACAAAGTCATAAAATAAATAGATCAGTAGCTTATTTTATAAGACCCACCAAACCTTAGTATTTCAGACTTTTATATTTTTTTCAATCTAATTGTAGTGAAAGAAAATAAAAGATGACAAGCCAATCTCACTTCCAATGCAAAAAATCCTCAAAACTTACACAAAAAAAATCCTTAATGAAATTTTAGTAAACCAAATGCAGTGGTGTATAAAAGGATAATATCTTATGCTTACATTGCATTTACAATGACTGACATCCTAAAGTTAAACTGACCTTACTTTGTTGGTAAGAAACGAACATGGTCACAAAATAGTATCTTTGTTCATGTAGCTCCTCTATTCACAGTTTTAAAAAATGAAAGAACAACCAAGAACAGTAAAGAACTTCCTTGGTTTGAGAACAGGTATTTTCCAAAAATCCATCACAAATGTTATATTTAATGATGACATATTAAAAAGATTTTCCAATAAAACAGGACATAAGATAATAATGTCATCATCCTTTCTATACACTTGTGATCCATATTAAGTAAGAAAAAAATGTGGTCTAATTATTAAAGTATCCCATTTCTACGAGTATCTTATATTTAGTAAATGCAATCAAGCTAGTATTCTTTTAAAAAAAAAAAAAGATTTATTTATTTATTTTATCCAAGAACCGGGTACAGGCCAGATGCACGGGAGGGTGAGAGAATTCACCAGAGACAGAGTGGGGAACAGAACAGGCAGACTGATGAAATACACTGCTGAGGGGAGCAGCGGGTGCGACAGGAGAGATCTGCCTCGCCATGTGGGACCCTCGCCAGCCGGCGGGGATCGAACCAGCGCCGCAGATTGAACCAGCGCTGCAGCGCAGCGCTCAACCGCCTGCATCACCAGGGAAGGCCCACAAGTTGTATTCTTAATGATAAAAGTTAGTTTGGGATCAAAACAGAAGAGTTGAGGGGTGAAAGCAGATAATATAGGTGGGAGATCAATGCAACACCAGGCAGGTGAGAAGTAGTCTTGGCTATAGCAAAATCTAAGCAGCAAAATCTAAGATATGGTAGATAAGCAGGAAAAAAATTCCCAATTTTCAAGCAAACTATGAAAAAGTTATGCTAACAGAAAAAGTACATTTGAATAAGCCAGAGTTAGAAATAAAACGAATTTGGGATTTATGCCTTAATAGGAAAAAGCCCACAATGTCAGAAGAACCCTAGAATACAGAACAGCTAGTTGATCTTAAGAGAATTCACCAGACTCTCTGGAAAAAATTCTCCTATGAATATAGTGAAGAAGTTAAACTTGATGGTTTCTCTAAAATTTTACTGATTTCTAAATCTGACTGAAAACACTCAGCATTTATGTCAAAGAAGGATAGTTTTTATGAGTAATTAATCACTTCAAGGCTGCTAAGTTTCACATTATATTTCATAATGAAATAATAATATCTTATAATAATATTATTGTAAAGTAAATAAATAATTCAATGCTCAGTTCCCAAAGAGGGAATAAAACACAATGATTAAAAAGCTTGGGTTTTACAATTTCTCTGTCTGGGTTTGAACACAACTTCACCATTTATTAATTATGTGATTTCTTGGAAGTCACGTAAATCCTTTTTGCCTTCATTTCCTAACTATGAAATGGAGACTGTAAGACTATCTCTCTCATAGGCTGGGGCAAAAATTAAAGATAATTCTTAGAAAGTAGTATGTCTGGCACATAGAAAATACATTTAGTAACTTTATATCTGGTGAGACAGGGAGAAATAGGTACCAAATTATAAGGAAAATGCAGAGAGGGAAGAATTAAAAAGAAAGGTATCCTTCTATTGTTTAATTTTTATTAGCAGCAGCAAAATCTAAGATACGGTGGTGTAGAAAAATTAGTAAACCTCAGATCTAGCTGTATAATTAGCTGTTCGATCATGAGGGGTAAGGGGTAATTTATCTCTTCTAAGTTTTGTACTTCTTAATCAGCACTATAGGCGGGGGTATAAGAATTTACAAAGATAACGTATGTATGTGAAAAATTCTGAGAGATACTATCCAGTAACATATAAATAAATTATGCTAAAAAGTTTACTGAAAATTGGGCCTCCCCGGTGGCGCAGCGGTTGAGCGCTGGGTTGCGAAGCTGCCTGCAACCTCTGCAGCCGGTTCAATCCCCGGCTGCTCCCCGGCCACCGGAGGAGGGTCCCACATGGCGCGCAGACCTCTCCTGCCGCCCGCTGCTCCCCTCAGCAGTGTCCTTCAGTCCTTCTGCCTGCTCTGCTCCCCGCTCTGGCTCTGGTGAATTCTCTCACCCTCCCGCACTTCTGACTGTACCCAGTGCATGTATAAACCAAAACAAACAAACAAATAATAAATAAATAAATAAGACATGCCTCTAGAAAATTTAAAAAAAAAAAAAAAAGTTTACTGAAAATTACCCTATCTTGAGAGATGATTTTCACATAATTATAAAACTTAAGAAATCACTCCATATGGCTTTTTTTTAAGCAAGCTCACTAGCAGGAATTGTTAAATAATCCATTGTTAGAGTACTTACTGAGTTATCTAAAAATAGACATGAGTTTAATCTACAGCACAGCAAAAAACAATTCACTGAGTTTTTTGTTTCAAATTTATTCAAGACTTGAAAATATATAAATCAAGACGCATCTTACACATTTTAGAACACCAGGGTTAAAATAAAATTTATTTAAACATACCTATATATCAAAACTGATACTTAAAGATGTGAGCTGAAATACTCCACCAAATGTATTTAACTCACTCTTCAACCTTACCTGCTTCATTGCTTGCTTCTTAGCAGCTTCCCTCTGAAGGCTTTCACTCACAGAGGTCTGTAAAAGAGAAAAAGATTATCATTGTTTAAACCAACTAAAAATTTCTTGTCCAGAATATGGCTAGCAATTGATTCCTTATAATTACATATAGAAAGCTAGCACTATGAATTAACATTTTCAAGATCTTTCCCCTAAACTTTAAGAAACAAATGAATTTTCTATGTAAATAATGAGTAGGCTGTAAGGTGTGAGAAAAGAGAATGGCTTTGAAAAAAATTAGGTAAAGTGGGTTTTTAGCCCCCAACTTCATTATTCAATCTCTATGGATTCAACCTTTGTTGTGTGCACATGTGCACGAATGTGTGAGTATGCAGGTGCTGGGTAGGCAAGGACTGCACCGTATTTCAGGTCCTACTGAAATCTTTCTGTATTTCAAGTCGCTTGCAAAACTAAAATGGTATGCTTCCTAGCACCAAAAAGCATATTATTTTTTCAATTTTATGTATTTTTTACATCACTTTTCATTTTTTACAATGTATACATTTTCATCTTAGTTATAGTCCCCATACAATTCCCACCCCTCTTTGTTTTGATTCTACTCTCACCGGCCCCCTCTGCCCCCCATGTCTCTGGTTTATAGCTGCTTGTTGATTTTGATTTTTACTTTATTATAATTAGCCTTTTTCCTGGTCCCTTATTTAGGTTTTCTAAATTCCTGCTATGAGTGAGACCATCCGGTATTTTTCTTTTTCTTTCTGGCTTATTTTGCCGATCATGATCCCTTCCAGCTGCAAATTGCATGAGTTTATCTTTTTTGATTGCTGAGTAATATTCCATTGTACACACACACACACACACACACACACACCCCACATCTTCTTGATCCAGTCACCTGTTTTGGGGCATTTGGGTTGTTTCCATAGCTTAGCTATTGTACATAGTGCTGTTATAAACACAGGGGTGCAGGTGCCCTTTTGAATTAATGTTTCTGTGTCCTTTGGGTAAATATCCAGGAGTGGAATTGCTGGATCACAAAAAAGCTCCATCTTCAGCAGGTTGAGGAATCTCCACACAGCTCTCCACAGTGGTAGGACCAGTTTGCACTCCCACCAGTAGTGCAAGAGAGTTCCGTTTGTCCACATCCTTGCCAACATTTGTTGTTGCTAGTTTTTTTAATATGTGCCATTCTCACTGGTATAAGATGGTATCTCATTGTAGTTTTTATTTGCATTTCCCTGAGTACAAGTGATGTAGAATATTTTTTCATATGCCTGTTGGTTATTTGCATTTCCTCTTTGGAGAAGTTTCTTTTTAGCTCTTCTGCCCATTTTTTGACTGGATTATTTACTATGTTTTTGTTGAGACTTCAGCTCTTTGTAGATTTTTATGATCAGTCCTTTATCATTAGTGTTGTGTGCAAAAATTTTCTCCCAATCCATAGGGTGACTCTTTGTTTTGGTTACTATCTCTTTTGCTGTACAGAAGCTCTTTAATTTGATACAGTCTCAGCTGTTTATCTTTGCATTCGCTATCACTGCTTTGGGTGAAGCGTCTTTATAAAGATGTTACCGTGGGCCTCCCCTGGTGGCGCACAGTTGAGTGCTGGGTTGTGAAGCTGTCCGCAACTTCTGCAGCACCTGTTCGATCCCCAGCCACCCGCGAGGGTCCCACATGGCGCGCAGACCTCTCCTGCTGCGCCCTCTGTTCCCCTCAGCAGTGTATTTCATCAGTCTGCCTGTTCTGTTCCCTGCTCTGGCTCTGGTGAATTCTCTCACCCTCCCATGCTTCTACTGCACCCAGTGCTTGTATAAATAAATAAATAAATCTTAAAAAAAAAATGTTACTGAGGTGTATACCATGCAGTGTTTGGCCTATATTTCCTTCTATATATTTTGGTTTCAGGTCTTATGTCTAGTTCTTTAATCCATTGTGAGTTGGTTTTTGTGCATGGTATGAGGTAGTAGTCAAGCTTCATTCTTTTGCATGTAGCGACCCAGTTTTCCCAGCACCATTTATTGAACAAACTTTCTTTGCTCCATTGCATATTCTGTGCGCCTTTGTCAAAGATTAGTTGACTGTAAATCTGTGGGTTTATTTCTGGATTTTCTATTCGGTTCCATTGGTCCGTGTGGCTATTCTTGTTCCAATACCATGCAGTTTTGTTTATTATGGCTTTGTAGTATAGTTTGAAGTCTGGGAGTGTGATACCTCCATTCCCTTCTTTTTTTTTTTTTCTCAGAAGAGATTTGGCTATTTGGGGTTTCTGGTGGCTCCATATGAATTTCATCAATATAGGTTGTATTTCTTTGAAGAATGTCATTGAAATTTTTATTGGATTAGCATTGAATCTGTAAATTGCTTTTGGTAGGATGGCCATTTTGATAATGTTAATTCTTTCAATGCATGAACAGGGGATGTCTTCTATTTCTTTTAACAGTGTTTTTTTTTTTTTTTTAAAAAAAGATTTATTTATTTATACAAGAACCGGGGTACAGGCCAGATGTGCAGGAGTGAGAGGATTCACCAGAGACAAAGCAGATGGAACAGAAACAGAACAGGCAGATGGACAAAATACACTGCTGAGGGGAGCAGCAGGCGAGACAGGCGAGGACTGCTGCACCACGTGGGCCCCTCACTGGCCGGCTTCGATCCGGCGCTGCAGAGGCTGCGGACAGTTTCACAGCACTGCGCTCAACCACCTGTGCCACCAGGGGAGGCCCTAACACTGCTTATAGTTTTCTTTGTTAGGTCCTTTACCTCTTTTGTTAGGTTTATTCCCAAGTATTTGATTTTTTTGTTTCAATAATAAAAGGGATGGTTTTCTTGATTTCTTCTTCAGATTGACTGTTTGCGCATAGGAAGGCTACTGATTTTTGTGTGTTGATTTTGTATCCTGCTACTTTACTAAACTGATTGAGTAGTTTGATTAGTTTTTCTGTGGCGTTTTTGGGGTTCTTTATGTATATTATCATATCATCTGCGAATAGTGATAGTTTGACTTCTTCCTTCCCTATTTGGATTCCTTGTATGTCTTTCTCCTGTCTTATTGCTCTGGCTAGGACTTCCAGTATCATATTGCAAAGCAGTAGTGAGAGTGGACATCCTTGTCTTGTTCCAGATCTTAATGGAAATGCTTTCAACTTTTCACCATTGAGAATGATATTGTCTATGGGGTTGTCATATATGGTCTTTATGATGTTGAGGTATGTTCCTTGTATCCCGAGAATTTCAAGGGCCTTTATCATAAAGGGGTGTTGTAATTTGTTGAAAGCTTTCTCAGCATCTATTGATGTTATATGGTTTTTACATTTCTTTTTGTTGATGTGTTGGGTACACTGATTTTATCTAGTTTAGGTGATTGTAAAATTGTCGGAATTTGTCCATCTCTTCTAGATTGCTGAACTTGTTTGCATATAACTGTTCACAGTAGTTTCTGATTATTCTTTTGATTTCTGCTGTGTCTGTTGTGATTTCTCCTTTCATTTGTGATCCCATTTATTTGTGCTTTCTCCGATTTTTCCTTTTGTGAACCTCGCTAAGGGTTTGTCTATTTTATTTATTTTCAAAAAGCATATTATTTTAATACCACTGAATTTAGTGCATCAAGCTCTTTATATATGCTTAAGGCTTAGGTGAGGCAAGAAATATCTGTGGTTATAACTATTCAATAAGTATGTACTGAAAAGCCTACAATATCAGGCATTTTTCTAGCTCCTGCAGATGGAGGAAAGGTAAGAGCTGTCTCTCACCTAAAGAACTAAACTGCCAGGGCCTCCCTGGTGGCACAGGCGGTTGAGTGCAGTGCTGTGAAGCTGTCCACAGCCTCTGCAGTGCTGGTTTGATCCCCGCCGGTCATGGAGATACCCACATAGTGGGTAGACCTCTCCTGTCTCACCCGCTGCTCCTCTCAGCAGTGTATTTCAGTCAGTCTGCCTGTTCAGTTCCCTGCTCTGTCTCTGGTGAATCCTCTCACCCTCCCGCACATCTGGCCTGTTCCCAGGTTCTTGTATAAAAATGAGTATATCTTAAAAAAAAAAAAAAAAACCAAAAAACTAAACTGTCAAAAGGGATGACAACTAAACAGATAATTACAGTATAATTGTGGCAAGCAAATATGGATTTTAAAAAGGATATGGGAACACAGCATAGAAGAAAACTAAATGCACGAGGAATCAAGAAAGCGTCCCAAGATATGGCAAAAAATATTTAAAATACTTAAGAATAAATACTGTAAGTATAAAGCTTGAATAAAAATACAAAATATGTAAAAAAAAAAGAATAAAAATAAAAATACATAAGTATAAGGCTTTGTAAATATACTAATCAACACTGAAAAGTATACCTCAAAAGGGTAAAATTTATGGTATGTGAATTATATCTTTAAAACTAAGAATAGTGATGCATTTATTTTTAATTAAAATATAATCCTGGGCCTCCCTGGTGGTGCAAGGGGTTAAGCACAGCACTATGAAGCTATCCACAGCCTCTGCAGCATGAGTTCAATCCCCAACTGGCCTGGGAGCTACCCACATAGTGCAGCAGACCTCTCCTGCCTCACCTGCTGCTCCCCTCAGCAGTATATTTCAGTCAGTCTGCCTGTTCTGTTCTGTTTCCCACTCTGTCTCTGGCAAATCCTCTCACCCGCCATATCTCTGGCCTGTACCCCAGATCTTGTATTTATAAACAAATAAATCTTTAAAAATATACTTATATCTACTGAATGGGAGGAAATATTTGCACACCATACATATAACAAAGAACTGATATTAAAGCTCGATAAAGAGCTCATACAACTCAACAAAAATAAATAACCCAATTAAAAAAATGAGCAGAAGAGCTAAACGGCACATTTTTCAAAGAAGACATACAGTTGGCCAATAGAGACTTGAAAAAATGTTCATCATCACTTATCATGACGGAAATCCAAAGCAAAACCACAATGAGACACCACCTCACACGACGAGGATGGACCAGAAACAAGTGCTGGTGAGGATGTTGCGAGAAAGCAATCTTCTTATACTGCTGGTGGGAATGTAGATTGGTCTAGCCCTTATGGA